TTATCAACAAGAAAAAAGTGATTTTATCATTTACGGCACCTTCTATGATTATGATGAGATAATATTTTTCTTTTTATCTTATTATTTTTCACCATATAGAACGATTGAATACAATGAACGTCAACGACTATATCGTAAACAATTGTAATTCGGTTTCGATCACGGGTTTTAACTTTTGAATCCAACATCAAACTCAATGAGAAATAGTTATTTAAAAACGAACATACATCTTGTTCCAACAATACATTTAATAATAAGATTTTCTTAATAAAATTAATTTATGAAATAAATTACATTTTTTTTTGTTGTTACAAAATGATGCAGAGAAGAGTAATAATAAAGACAGTGTCACATTTCTTATTGCTAAAGAAAAGATATTTATCAAACTCTAGATAATGTGCAGCTGTACGCCAATAACATTTTGGAATTTTCGTGCGACTGATACATCTTATATGAACACGCAAGACTATTGCATGCGAGCACCTGCAAGAAAAAGAATTCATATACATACATGTATTGTTTATGTATTCGCGTTTGATAAGATAGAAATTCATTAAAAACAGCTATTGATTCAAATTATAGTTTATTCTATTTTGTTCAAAAACATAATAGTGACGCATTTCTTATTATAATAATGACGGAAGAAAAACAATTAGAATATTTTTACATAGAATCATTTGGAATAGTTTTCTGTTCATCTTTACCTCATTGCATTTGAAATACAAAAGTGCAATACGTGAACTCTTGTTTGTTTCTGTTATAGATAAATTTTTGTGTTTTTTATGTAACTGTAAAAGTATTCTTTTTCAACAGTCTTTTTGAGCCATAAATAAAAAATAAAATCGATCTTATTTTTATATTTAGTTTATATATGATATACAACTTTAAAAAAAATAAAGGTTTATGTTAAAAATGATGAACTTTTGATATCTCCTAATGCATTTGAAATTCGAGCTATTCGATGAGTGTGTCTGTTATATATTTTAAAAACATTCAATATTATTGTACATGATTAGTGAAGATCTACTCAAAACAGTTCATGTTATGTTGACATTTGCAATTGCCAAATGATTGAGAGAAAATTTGTTTATACATAATTATAATTTAACAGTAATAAATGCAATAAGTTAAACAATTCAAAACCAGACATGATGATAATGTTCTTAATTAAAACTTCCACATAGAAGTTAGATGTGTTATTTTTATGATTCATGACAAAAATGTGCACTGCCTTAGTGGAGGCAGCTATGCCGTCGGCTGACCGTAAAAAAGTCGAACACAATGTTGCGCACTCTCTAGCGACAAGTATGATGTACTTTTCGGCGACTACATCTCTGAAGAAATTTTGGAGCGTGGTGGATAAGTGATCGCGTCTTAAGTATACCAAATGTTATCGGTATAGTTGAAGATTTTTAAAAATAGGATATATATCAAATGCGGAAAACTTAGGTGAACAAATTTAATTACTAATAGATTCATTCTTTATGAGACACCATTGATTTTGTGATCTCAGTTTTGATACACATTTGTTAAATTTGTCAATTAAGTTTTAATCAACATTAATATAAAATTATCTTAATAGAAAATCGACCTAGCCAAAAAATTGATGATTTTTATTGTCCCGACCATACTATTGAAAGCAGTCGAAAGGGTTCTACAAGCATATATAACCAGCTACTTATAGAATGCTTTCTAACCCAAAATAATTATTGGGCCCAGTTGCCAGAATCGATGATACATCAAGCAGTGGCTCATATACCTGTCGAGGGACCATATGTGTGTGGTCTCAATGCTATGCGTGCGTTGTTGCTTGTTGATGAAAGACTACAAATCATTACCCGAAAAAAATGACTATCCTTATCAATGGTTTTTCGTTGAGTCAAATGAAAACTATCGTACGGGACCAACACCTTCGCATTACGGCGAATGGATGCAGAAACGGTGTTCAGGATGGGCCTATCAAACCCGATATGGCTCATGGGATGAAACGATTAGCTTTATCCAAAAAACCTTCGAGAAGGTAATTCAGTCATTGCTCTTGGATTGGAAGCTTACAAAGCTCACTACTTTCCTATTGTTGGTTGGAGTGAAGAACACGCATTTGTATTAAGTGCAAGCGGCGACCTCTATTGGGCATCCAAGAGCTATATAAAAGATGTGTTCATGGATGTGTGCATTGTAGGAATTTTAGGTTATAGTGTCTCCACTGTGAAATAAGTATCAATCAAAAAACCAGCGGCTTGCACTATACTCGAGATCAGAGAGAATTGCAATCAGTGTATCACTGTTTTTAAATAATGTTGTGAAATAAAATGAAAAATTTTTTAATTGTTTATTTTATTAAAGTAATAAGAAAACTCAAGATAACCAGATACGTACGTTTAAAATGATAAAAACACGCTTCGAGTTAAGAAAACAATCAGATATTGCCGTTTTCAATATTAGAAAGTAAATTGAGATCGAACAAAGTCATTACTTGGCTTGGTTCACTGAATAGTATATGTGTGGATGTTGGTGTAAGTCTTCTCGTCGTCCACATTCATACCCTTTATTTTCAAGGTCAAATTGCGAAAATTTAAAATTAACATAAACTTAAATCAAGATATGAAAAAATAATTTGTTTAAGAATAAGATTATTTATGCATTTAAATTCTTTATTCATATCAAAATTAGAAAAAATTCTGTATAAAGTTATATGAAATGGGATATTAGAATGTTTATTAACAGGTAGACGTTGGCATTTGATCGTAAGATTCAATCGGCTAAACGATGTATAAATAACAAATGATATGCATATCCGAATTAAACTTTCATATCCTTATACTTCTATCATTTCGACTAGCTCGGACTCGACCAATACATAAGACTACATCTTGTTGTATGCACGTGTCGTAGACGCTCGTACTTATTTGAGTTAAAATCTTCTTTGATGGTCGTTCGGACGGTATGACAGCTTCTAGTCTTTCAATCTGTGCAGTCATCAGAAGATGAGTCAAGATCCATCAACACGACTAAGAAAAATAACTAGTCGTTTCACCTGAGCACATGTCGAAAGGTATTTTTACCTGTACTGCATACTGATGGCTATACTGCAGGTTTTTATCGATATAATTAATTTTAATGGATGTTTTTTTTGTCACATTATATAAATAGCATATATTATATATATATGAAAAAATATTTGAAAATAAACTGAATTTGAAATACTACCTATATCAAACTATAATGTGCTCCATTGGTTTTTGATTAACTTTTGATAGGAATATCGACGAGATCTGCGGTTTTCATCATTCAATAGAGAAGATCTGTGATCATTGGAGTATATCGAAATTTGAATGATCAGCAATTGACCAATCAGATGAGTTCTTGTTGAAGATTCCAGAAAACAATACTCTGATGCTATTTTTCTTTCAATTCATACTTTTAATAGGACTATTCGATAGAAAAAAAAAACCTTCTTTTTCGACCTACGTTAGACCGACATTCCCATTGACTTAGCATTCTCGATTATCCTTGCCTAGCTGCTGTTCCACGTGAGCACAAGTCAATTGAATGAAATCGAGGATGCCAGGAACATTCTTATAACTCTTGAACGGAACAAACTACGAACGTCGACAATGCGCATAGATTGAAACAGAAGAATTTTTTCCTATTGACTAGTTTTATTAAAAGTCTAAATTGAAAGGAAAATAGCTTCAACATATTACTTTTCGAAAATCTCCACCAAATTATATTTCGAAATGGATAGTAGTTAATGTTAAATTTTTGATGAACTAAGTATATAATCAAAATAATATATTAATAGCAAATTTTCTTTGTATATTCATCCTGAACTTTTGACTAAAATATGACATTGAAATCAATTGGATGAGAACTAAGAAATAGTAAACAGATATCGTTCTAATTGAAAATATCCATGAAGTGTTTTTGACATGTTTCGAATTTAAATCGGTTATATAATAAGTATGCAATTGTACAGAATATCACTAGCATTAAAACTCACGCCATCACATAAAAAAAACGACCTCGAGTATCTCACTATTAATTAATAGTGAAAAAAGAAATTAAATGGAATCATCAAGAAATTTCTAAAGATGCGTAAAATTATTCAATAATCCCCTTCTTCGTCAAACCAATTTTCAATATGTGAATAGATTTTGTAGAAGAATCTACTCGAAATTTTAAAAAAAACGACTTGTCTAATACAATGAAGATTATTTCTCTATTTTCAATCAGTATCTTGTTGTTATTTGACATTGTACAAAATATTCTCACAATTATAAATCATGTTTTTGTCATGTATAAAATAAAAATTTGTTGCATCTCTGCACTATGATACTTAATTGAACATCATAAACTTATCAAAAATGCTCGACATTAACAATCGATAAATAAACATGATTTCAAAAAGAAAGAAAAAATACTTCATGTTATGCTTGGCGTAAGTTTTTATTTAAATATCTTTACTTAACATGCTGTTTGTACGGAGAATGATTCAATTTCTCTTATTGAAGTCAACCTGTGAAGAATACGAGCATAAATAAATATGCGATTTTACAAATGATGTTTGTGATATTATATGAAACAGTAAAAAAAAGACAAAGCTTCGTTTAAATATATCGGCGTATTTAACTCTACGAAATTTATATAATTTTTTTCTATCAGATATATATTTTCTAATGTTTAAAACGTAAGAGAAAGAAATTTATCATAATTACCATAGTAAGAAAAATTCTAAGAATAATAACCGATTGACGTCAAATAACTATGCGCGTCATGTTCTATTGCATACGATGATGTGCGAACCATAATTATCATTCTAATCATAGGAAAAAAAAGTGATACATGCATGACCAAACATCAGAAATGTGTCTGAAGAACTACATCAATTGACATCTAACAAGATATTATAAAAGCAAATGTTGATGCAATGAAATGAATAATAAATCATATAATTGTGTTTATCACAAATTTAACATCGTAAACAAAAAAAAACAAATATGAGTAAGTAGTTATAGATAAAATATTGTTCTCTTGTAATATATCATACAATCTATTAAAATTTTTTTTTTTTTTATTAGACTTTTTAGTTAATGCTCTCGAACGTCGTGTTGGTTTCGATATAAATGGCGATGGTTATCTTGGAGGAGGAGGTAAATTAAAATCGATACATTTATTGAATTCCGATATTATTTTTCTGTCATAGGATTTTTGAGAAGATTGAAACATGCATTGCGCTTTATTGCTAAGCATCACAACATTATCGGTCATTATTTGGATAACTATTATGGTTATTATTCACCTTATAATATCGACTACAATAGTTTTCCACCAATGAGCTATGGCGGTTATCCTTCAACGGATTTCGGTCATGGCTCGCATTTTGGATATTAATAACACTTGATGAATAATTGTTTTCTAATGTAAAAGTGATATTTATATAGGAAAATATTTAATAAATAAAAATTCGAATCAAAATAAACGTTGGTTATTTATTAATAATATATTTAAATTAAGAGAATTTATCTAAGAAAAGCCGGTTAGTCCTTTTTTGGAAACAAATTCAGTATCTATTGAATAAATAACTTTTATCCAAAAGCTTGAAGAAAGTAATGAATAGAGTTAAACTATTATTAGATATTTCATTCGAAATATGTCAGCATATAATATTAGACTTCAATCATTGATTAAATAAACATTGTCATTTTGTCTTAGTTTATTGATAAAAAAAAAAACTTTAAATTGGATAATGATTTTATGATCAAATCATAGATTTTGATTCAATGTTTCGCTTAAATCGAAAATCATCATTGGTATGTATTCGCAATTCCTTCAATGACTCAAAAATCTCCTAAAAGAATGGTACTACTTCTATAGAGATGTTTTCTTATATTATTATAGAAAGGCTTATTTTAAAAAAAAGGACTCTGTGGTGCCCTGCGCCTTGACATATTCTTTTCAACAAAAACTAATTCAAATACATCATATGGATCTGGACTGAGAAATTTGTTATCATGCAGGAAAATTGAAATAACTCACACCGAATTCAAGGTATAACCAATTTTTTATTTATTTTAAAGCTCTCAATGAGAGTAAACTTTGGTCCGATCAGATTTTTTTACATTGGATTCGTGGCCTAAGAAAAGTAGAATTTAGTGCTATGAGAATCACCTCTTTTTGTGCTTATTTGAACACCATGTCAATTAAAATGCTCATCAAAAATGAATGGAAGAAAATTTCAAAATTATGCTCGGACAGAAGTTGCGCACAGATATTAGCTTTAATTTGAAATCAACCGTATCTCTTATAGTGACGAAGTTATCACGATTCTCCTGGAAGTCACACAAAATAAGCTGGTAGTTTGGTCTAGTACGACATATTGGGTTGAAATTTTTACGATAAGCGCTTTCCACTAGGAACACTCATTCCTGTGAATTTCAGCCAAAATGGCCCCGTTCTAAGTTGGAAATCGATTCTGAGAGGGGAACCTGAAAAGACAAGATCAAATCCTGAAACAATATTTTTTTTCTTAATATCATTTTTTGTATTTTGTACATTCGTATTTGGTCATATCACTAACAGCAACTAAATTAGGTTTTTCAAAAAAATCTAAGCATGTTCAGAAAAAATTTTGCATAGAAATTGGATAGCTTCAGAAGTTGTGTACAAAATAATACTTCGAGTCAGAGGTTTTTTCAAAACTAAAATGCATGAAGTGAAAGTCAATGTCCTTTTTCTTGTATTACATCGCTAACGCTAAGGTTTTTACTATTAACTTCTCTAAAGAAAGGTCTCTAGTAGGGTATGTAGAGTAACTTAGCATACATATAACATATAAAAATTAACTATAGAAAAGTTCATTATCTCGAGATACATGTCTTTTAATTTTGCGAAGTCACGTTACTATGGAATAGTTTTTTTGTTCCATATAAACATACTCAAATTATTTCTCACAATCAAAAGAAAGAGAATATGTTCTAGATAATATGTCATGCACCGAGCTCGAATTTTTCACCTACAATTCTATAATCGTACTTTGTTCTCATTATCTTTTATATATATATAGTAATTTGCTTATTCCAAAAAAATCATATGTTTCATCTATTGAATTTTAAAGATGAACAAAATTTATTCGAAGTTTTCGATTTCTTTATTACCATAAATTTCAAGTGCTGTTAATTTTTAAACTGTTAATATCATGAATTAATTTCGATGGGATACAATTGAAGTGCTAAATGTATCACCCATGTAAATATACTTGTTTTTTGATAAACAGAATAACAACAAAAAAAAAAACAAGATCATAATTTTTTTTTAATTACTATGAGGATATTTGATATAAAAATATGCACAAATAAATGGTATTAGAACAAGAATAATAATAATAATAATAATATGCCAAAATTTACAGCCACAATCAGCTTCATCACAATTAAATTGAGTAGTTGTATTTCTTACTGGTTTTATCATACTTTGAGTTAATGATGGTGATGTTAATTGATTAGAAATTAATGTTGATGTTGATGATGTTTCAATTAATTGTTCAACTTTAGCACGCATTGATGCTAAATCTTGATCCATAGCATTTAAAAAAGCAAGATGATTTTTTTGAGAAAGATGTGTAATAGGTAATGAAATTGTTGATTGTTCATTTAAATCAACAACTGTTGATGATGGTAATGATGATTCAGAATATTCATGAAGTAAACTAAAACGACGTATAGGTACACGACAATATGTTAATGCATAAAAATCTTGATCATTTTGTAGATTATTTAAACGTTTTAATTGAGAAACCTGAAAGAAAGAGAAAAATAAAATAAAATTTTTTAAACAAAAAATAAATGAAACTTACAGGTACACGATATCGAATAGCAAATGCTTGGATAGTTTCATTTGATAAAATAGGTTTTTCAATAATAACAATTGAACCACCATCATGTGCTGATGATGATGATGATGTTAAATATTGTTGTGAATAACGAGTACGAATAGTATGTTCATCATGTGATTTTGTTTCTTCATCAGAACTAATTGTTTCTAATTCAATATTAGGATTTTCAAATGTATATAGATGTGAATCAGTTAGAGAATGATTTGCTTGACGAAATTCATATTTTCCTAAGAAATTTTGACTTGATCTTTTAACTTTTCTTTTTTTAGATGATGAAAATAGAGAATCTTTTAATATATTCATATAAGATGATAATGGTATAAAGTAAATAATAATAACAAATAATTCAAATAAAATTGACAGCATAATCTGTCAAAAAAATTATTTCAAATAATTTAATAATTAACATAATAAAAAAATAAGATTAAACATGATTTTTAATCATGTTATAGACTGTAAATATAATAATGTAATATTTATGAATATAAAAGTTTATAGATGATATATTTGAATCTACATTTTATACTAGTTGTCCTTTAAAAAAATAGTATACGTCACATTATCAATGATTGGTTTTACACTTCCATCGAATTTTATTGACGTTTCAGCGACATCTTTTATCGTTTTATCGTCAATGATTTTTTTTTAAAATTATAAACCCTAATGTAGTGAAATTTACCCGAAAGAAAGTGTACCTTTAATCTGCCGAATCAAAGACATAATTGTCATTCCATGGGATTCAAACTAGCTGCCCGGATCGAGTAGAACGATCTGTAAACCACTCAAAAACGCCTACAGTTTCGATGATTGTTTACAACCATTGGTCTGGCATCCCACTCCACCTCTTTTTCCTCTTTTCTCACGAAAAAGTAGTTTATTGGCGAAAATATTCATGGATGTATTGATTAATGTTATCATATTATACAAAAAGACCACATAACACAAACTGATGTGCTGATCAGTCGAGGTGTATAGCTAAGGAGACTAAATTATATGACTTTAGTGATCAATTTCAGCGACGTTATATATCCATAATTGGAACCCAATTTTTATAGCTGTCTAGTGAAGGCAAAATTACTCAACTATACTTCCAATGTGAACTCATCATTCTCTCACAATCTTGGCAAGTTTTCGCTAGTTAAAATCGACATGTAAAATGATAATATCGAGCTTACTCTTCTTAACCATTTTTCTCAGCCCTAGGGAAACTTGTGATGTGAATCTAACAATGGATAGCTAACTAGTATGATGTCATAAGTTGAAGATTTCTGCTTATCAGATACCGATAAAAGTTTTCATATTGTATCCGACAATATCTGATTCTTCAAAATTACTGGGTTGATTACAGATGCCATGATATGTTGCTAGATTATCTTACGCGATTGATTTACTATCAAAATGAAGGAATCCTTCTCCTTCCGAGTTTCTCCGTATACAATCATATTTTGAACGATCGAATATCTTTAAACCGTACACGGAGCAATATAATCGTATACGAAGAAATACAGAGCAAAACAAAAGCCGTAGACGAGCTTTGTTTGTCCATCAACGATCGTATTTCTCCGATTACAAGCGTGTTTGCTTGGCATTGGATTAAAATTGACAACGGTTTGATGATACTTGGAAGAAATCGTATATGATGGAATGTGATAGCAACAAACAGGGGAGCCCTACTGACTAAGAAGCAGGAGATCATACAATCTACCCAATACAAATAAATCGTTTTCTAGAGAACCACAGGAAGATGACCATATTTCATTGGGAAAAATCAAGCGTTTTCGATAGTACGGGGGTCAAACGATTTCTCACAAACCCGCCATCTGGACATCATTGCAACCAATGTATTAATTTACGCTGAGAAACGAAAAAGTGAAACTGACTTGAGAAAAATGACCAAAACCATAGAAGAATTGCTGAAAATTGAAAAAAAAACGAAAAAATACCTTTCCCACATGCACAGTCATCCGAAACAAGGAACAAAGAGCAGAAAAAAAAACATTTAATGAATTCTGATCGTTTCTATTTCGGTGTGCCTACTTAGTCAGATAGAGTAATATTATAGGCAGATATTACGCAAATGGAATAGACTATTTTTCTAATGTTTTCCCGTTTTCTAATGCATACGTAAGCAATTGCACAAAAATCTCTATGAACAATTGAAAGTTTTGTTTCTTTTTTACTCTTTCAAGTCATATTCAACCTATATTGATAACGTGCGAGCCTTGTTGGATTTATAGTACTACTGTGCCAGTGAGTTTTAGTTTTCTTCTTCGGACGAAACTGTATGTCTCCTTTTTTCCTCTTTTTTTACAAAGTGTTGGTGGGATGTCAGCGAGTAAATGAATACATCTTCGCATATTCTCCATCAGAGACCTGCGGAGTCAGGTTTTTTTATTCCGAAGCCCAACTCTGACTCCGAGAATTTCTATTTTTTGACTCCCATTCACACTCCGTAAAACTTCGAAATTTTTTCTCGAAAGCAGACGATCTCTAATGTATTTTATTGTTTAATTTTGAATATGTATAAATCGATAAACAAGCAAAGGGATAAAAGAAAATGAAAGAATCATTAATATAGAAAAACTCTGAGTATCAGTTGGTATGACCTTCAGTAGTCTATTTTCGATTTTTGACACTCAAAAAACACTCTTTTTGAAGATAAAAACAAGTGAAAATCCTCTGGACTTTTGAAAAGTGTCCACTATAGAGAGGCTATGATTTTCCAAGCAGTAGTTTTTTTTTTCGAAAAAGAAGCACATTGTTCTAGATATCCGCAGAACGTTATTTAATCAGCTAATCGACTCGAGCGCGTTATTAATTCTTTCTTTGTGGTTTTGTCGTTGAAAATATAAAAATTAGCAATTGTTAAAATAATCTTTGATAGAGCTACTTTTGAAAGATGTTAGTTAATTTCGATTGGAGATCGGAGACAAGAATTTCGCTTGAGAGTGTTGAGTGAACATAAAAGGATTACTATCCAAATGATACTGAAAATCTAGCCAATTAGTATATAAAATGTCTCATTTAGGAAGCTACACTACAAATATGCGGAACCAAGACTGAACCAATTTTCAGCATTTGTACAGAGCCGGAACTGCAAGCGGGAGCGACCTCAGTAAGTTTTAGTCTCGTAAACGCCGTCATTTTTTAAAGAAAAACCTAAACTTCTGTGTTTGAAAAACCTTTTCTCTTATGTAGATATAAACAATAGCTTGATGAGTCTTGTGTAACTTGCGCCTGTGATGTTTTTAAAGTCTTCCAGAATTCATCTTTAAGCTACCCACAAAGAGATGAAACTCTCTTATGATTCCTAATGATACAGACAAAATTAGCGAGCTTTCTATTAAAGAGATAGGATCATCATTTGTCTTCATCAAACTCAACTAACTCTCTCAGCTGTTAATTAACATCTCGCCAATTGGTAACAGAAATGGAAAAGTAGTCTCCACTATACAGAGGTTCAATTCCAGCCAAGATCACTCTACAGGACTGTGAAAAAGTGTCTACCATGGAAGGTTTTACTGTATTTTTAACTCTGCAGTACTATTAGACAAAGTACACTTTAAGAAGCATATTTGTATTGCCTGTTGACGACATCTATATAAATGTTGAAGCAAGAGGCAAGTAAAAGTATACGTTTTCTTTTCTACTTATATGATTCGGTAATGTATGGAATAAGTAGTTTGTTTATTATTTATTTTTTTAAATTGAAATAGCTTCATAATGATCAATATTGAACTCCGGTGTCAGTTGTTGATACAATGCCCAATCGACAAAAATTCTATATCGGTTTGGGTATATCAGTTGGTGTTTGCACCGGTATAGGTCTTTATCTATTTTATCGTCATCAACGACAGATTGCATGTAAATGATAATTATTTTTTAAAAATTCACTTTTTTTTTTAAATTAATTTTTTTAATATATATTTAGTATCTAAAATAAATCGCCCTGTTACACCACCAATAATACTTTCATCATTAAAATCCTATAATGATTATCAATATGCTGACATGACATCACCATCAGAAATTGATAATGATGATTCAGAATCAATAGAATTTTTTAGTAATTATTAATTTAGCTTTTTTTTTATATATAGATATATCTAAATTAAAAATTAAACTTTAAAGATGAAACACAAATTCCTGATGGTAGTGTTCCATTAACGCCTGATCAAGCTTCTATTCTTACTCGATTTCTTTATGAATGTAATGATGACGAAGAACAATTACATTGTGTTTTAACGAGTATTGCTAATGCATCAAGTTTTAAAGAAAGTAAATTTTGTTTTATTTTTTGTAAAATAAAATTTTTCTTAATTTGTTTTTCATATAGGTCAAATAAATTTAGCAAATGCTGGTTGTATTACTCGTTTACGTGATTTACTTTTAAAAACAGATAATGAAATAACAAAATGTAAAATTTTTCTAGCTCTTAATAATCTCGCTCTAAATGATTTTGCTATTACTCAATTTTCGGTAGGATTTTATTATTATTGAAATTAAACTTATTCTATTCTTGTAGAGTATTGTTTCTATTGTAATTAAATTATGTTGTACAAGTCCATCGAATTCACTTGTACGTTTTAATGGACTTATATTACTTATTAATATGAGTGTTCTTGAATATCTTCATGAAGAATATATGAATAATATATATGAACTTGGTTTATTAATTGAATCAACAATTAAAAATGAAGATGAAGCATTATCATCAGGCAAAATTCTTGTTAATTTATCAACAAATAAATTAAATCTTGAAAGTTTACTTAAAATAACCGTAAAAAAAAATGATTTTTATTTTCTATTTTTTTTTTGTTCTATTTTTTATTTAAGGGTGTTGAATTAAAACCAATAATGAATTTATTTACATCGAAAATAGATCAATCACCTAGATCAGAACAGACTCTTCTTCGTTTTCTTTCATTCTATTGTAATTTAGCTGATATGATTATTAATGAATTAAAAGAAGGTGAAGGAGATACGAATAATAACAATTGTTCATGGTTATTTGATCCAAAACCACAACGACAGGGTGCACTTTATTTTGAATTCTTTAATAATGTATGGAATTAATTAAAAATTTCTCTATTGTCATAATAATCTTCTTTTTTTTCTAGGATAAACAAACTTTAGCTAGATCTCTTCTACGTCCACAATATACATCAACACAAATAAATTCTCAAATGAAACGTCTTTATCAATCAATGGATAAAATCCGTCAATGTCATATGGATTTGTCAATTTCGTCCAATAAAAATGATCAATCAACTGTAATAACTAATGAAAATTCATTAGATACTTTAACAGACGACAAGAATGTAATTCTTACTAACGAAAATTTATCATCTGACCAAGCATAAGCTAGTTATTGTTCAACTTATACAACTTAATTTTCTCTTTTTTTCTCTTCCTTTAGTATGATTCACTTATTATTTCCTTCCATATCCAAAGCATAAAATCTTTTGTTTTTGTTTTTGATAATATTTTATGATATTTTGGTTTTTTTTTTATTTTAGATCTTTTTTTCCTTCTTAATATTTATAACATTCGGCCGTTATAATGGGTGTTGATCTCGACCATCGTTTTGATCGTAAAGCAGTACGCCGAGCTCCACGTTCAAAAAATTTATATTTACTTTTACTTGTTAAACTTTATCGTTTTTTGGCACGTCGTACAGGTTCAAAATTTAATAAAATTTTATTAAAACGTTTATTTATGTCGAATACAAATCGACCACCACTTTCATTAGCACGTCTTGTTCGACATATGAAAAAGAAAGGTATTCAATAAATTACAATTACAATTGAAGAACTAGGTTTTTTTTTTTCTAAATATCTTTTAAAGGTCGTGAAAATAAAACAGCCGTTATTGTCGGTTCAATTACTGATGATCTACGACTTTATGAAGTACCTAAATTAACAGTTTGTGCTTTACATCTTACTGAACGTGCTCGAGCAAGAATTCTTGCAGCTGGTGGTGAAATTTTAACATTCGATCAATTAGCACTTCGTACACCAAAGGGTAAAAATACAGTTTTATTACAAGGTCCAAGAAAAGCTCGTAAAGCTAATCGATTCTTCGGTATGTTTGTGAATTTTATTTTGTAGAATATCTATTTTTATTTTCATTTAAGGTCGACCACCTGGTGCTCGTCATAGTACGACAAGACCAAAAGTTCGTTCAAAAGGTCGTAAATTTGAAAAAGCTCGTGGCCGACGAGCTAGTCGTGCTTACAAGAACTAAGCAATTGAAAACTGGTACTATTATCATCGTTACCATTATTTTGTAGTCCATCATTACTTTGTTTTTCTTCTTGTGTAATACAACATAAGAGCATGAAGAAAAAAAGAATAAAAGAAAAAAAATCAGTTCTTTTGAACACATGCACACATGAAATATAATGATACATTTTACTTTTAGTCAATATAAATTAGTATATTGTTTAGTACCAAGTGTTTTGTTTGGAATGGATTCCTTAGGCGATTCAAAAACAAAGAAAAATTAAAAACACAAATATAATGAAATATAAATGTACAAAATAGTCGTCATAATTATTTATATAAATCTCCATCCGTTTTCTAAACGCTTCTTCTGAAATATTCTTAAGTATCTTGAGAATCAAATGAGCTAATTATTTTTCATTTGTTTGATTAATTAAATCATTTAATCAAAAATCATATGGTGCAAGGTCTAATGAAAACAATGGATGTGAGATGATATTGATACGTTCTTGTGTTAAATAATTAATAACATCTGGATAAATATTAGGTTGAATATTGGCACGAAGTAATTTTATACCTTTTGCACTTGATGACATTCTTTATTTGGGTATTTTATTGACGACATTCTTGAGACAATTTTCAATATAATAATTGTGATCGATAGTCTTGTCTTCATCTACACTATGTATAAGAACACAGCCAAAGAATATGAAAAACAAAATTTTCGGTTCAAAACTACTTCGGTGAACAATAATTTCATCCATTTGTAATAAAATTACATAATTCCTGTGATCCATTACGGAATTCTAACTCGTTCTTACTTTTGTTCACTATTGAATTGATGAGACATTCGAAATGATATAACTTTTCTTATCTTTGGACAATTTGTTTGATTGTACCATGAAAGAGACAGAGAAGTCTTAGCTTAAACAGTTTCTATACATTATTAGTCTTAATAATAAGACGCGCGAAAACAAAATGATTCATTTATGGAATTAAGACATCTTCATTGTGCTATTATAACAATTTTTCTGGTCAGTTTTCAATATGGTACGTTTACATTCCTATAATTACTAATCAAAGTTTTATTGATCTGTTCAATAGTTTATAGTGGATGTCCATTGATTTATCAAATGATTGATAAATATCACTCCTATTGTGCTAAAAAAATCTCTCTCTCTAGTTTACCGCCAACACTTACAGAAATTGAATTTATCTTAAAAGTACATAATCAAGAACGATTTGATGTGAATGCTCAACAGATGCAAAAAATGGTACTATAAAAAGATATTGTTGACTATAAAAAAAAAGCAAAATTAATATAATTTTTTATTAATAGTATTGGAATGTTGATTTAGCTGAAATTGCTCAACGTTATGGTATAATTTTAAAAATAAAGATTTTCAAGAAAAGAAAAGAACTTTTTTTTTGTCTAGCTGATCATTGTTATTTTGATCATGATAAATCTATTCAAAGACAAACACCTCGTATTCCACTTTCAACTGGACAAAATCTTGGTATATTTTCTATGATTATATGATTATTTTTCATTTATCTATCTAGCTATGGGTTATAAAACTTGGACTTTAGCAATACAAGGTTGGGCAAATGAAAAAAATGATTTCGTCTATGGTAGCGATGTTCAACATGGTGATGTTGGACATTACACACAAGTATATTAAAATCATGCAATGTTTCTGTATTTTTATTTTGAATAGATGGTGAAAGATACAGCAGCACTTATCGGATGTGGTTTAGCTATTTGTCCTAAGGGTAAACTTGATCCACATAACGATTGGCCACATTATGTATGCAGTGAGTATTGATATAACTTCATATCAGAACCGGTTAGAATTTCATTGAAAATCTCAAAAATTTGATATAATTTGAATGTTTTCTCTTTCTTTTTTAGATTATGTCACTGGGTACATCAAAAATTCTTAATTTTTGCTTTAAAATATATTCTTTTGTTTTATTAATATATAGACAATTAGGTGATAATAAACCATATATACCTGCTAGTTCTTCTGAATCGAATAATGAACGATTATATGGTTTATTATTTTATAGAATTATTTTTATTTCGATAAGTTTCTATTTGTATTTTAGATTGTCAAGGTTTAGTATGTCTTTATAATGGAATTATTGATCTTAATTCATGTCAATGTCAATGTGAATCGCATACATCAGGTAAACAATGTGAAATTCTTGATTGTTCATTATTATCTAATGATTGTAAATATGGAAATGATAAATCATTATGTACAAAATATTCCAATGTTCCTAATGAATGTCCTAAATTTTGTGGTTTATGTTCTCGATATGATGAAATGAAAAAATATTATAATTCACTCGAAATATTATCAAATATTGGAATTCAAATGATAAAAAGTACTCAATCTATTTTATTATTCAGAAATATTTCTTTTCATATAGTTTTTATTCAATTAATCATAGTACATTTTGTACTGTCGGTTGATTAAATAATAAAATACATGTATATACATAAAAAACGAAAAAAAAGAACACATGTCACTCGGTTTAATCATCATCATCTATTCCAGATGTTTCTTCTCGATTTCGTAAACGATAAATTGATGTTAACATACGAAGCATAAAAGTAGCTGGAACTGTTATTGTAGTTGATGTTTCTTCAATCATTGCATGATTACGTTTTACAGTACGTTCAATACAATCACTATCATCAATTGGTGTTTCAGCCAAAGGTGAAAATATTTTTATATTACTAAAAATGAAAAAATTATTTTTAGAATATTCAATAAAAAAAGAATCTAAAATAGATGACCTATATCTAACTACGATGTCGTAAAATTCCAAATGGAATCAACAGAAATTTTCGGTAGTCTATTGGATATCTACTTCATCAAAAAAAATTATTTTAACTTTTCATACAAAGTTAAACTGAAAGATGTTTACTGCTCATCATAATCAATTAACATTTCATACTATCATAGGAATAATATCCTTGGCCTTTCGACTATTCTCTGAAACAAAATCGTTTTAATACCGAATCTTTCTTAAGTTCGGCAGAGACTGTGAAACCTAACATGGTTCTTCACGTGGTTACGTTCTCGGAATCTTTGCTACAAAACCACTTAAGTTCGATACGAAATCAATAAAAGATTTCGTATTTTTGATACCAAACCCTTTTTTTCATCCTACAGATCTCGAAAAGATTCTGAGAAGGTATCTTCGTGAAGAACTATTTTAGATTTCGAAGCCCTACTGAACTGAATAAGGTTTGTGATAAAATCTGTTTTTTTTAGAGTGTAACTTATGGTAGATTCAATAGCTCAGTATCTTTCCTACAACTAATACTATCTGCAGCTCTAGACAGAGGGTCAGTCTGATGCAGAACTCTTGCAGTCAATTGTCTGAGCTTCTCATACACACTCATGAATCACAAGGACAGGCGAATGTCACAATGTAGTTAGCATGCTATCGGACAGATGATCTGAGACAGACAATTGTTAGAAACTAATACCGGGTCATTCAATGACTGGTCGTATCAAGGTTTGAAGAGAGTACCTTGCAGCTACTTGTAATGAAAGTTCTCCAACTGCTCAATTGCTTTTAAGTCAAGACTATGTGCATCATGCGAACCCAAATGAGCTATGAATATCCTGAAAAGAGTTCGTGCCCTAAGTTTATTGCTACGTAGATACTATGGTATTTTTAAAATGAATACCATGGCCCCCTCAGAAATATTAGGAGAATTAATTTTTGAATTTTGACTTGACACTTTGTATAGAGATGGGATTTAATGAGAATAGATTATTGTGAAAATTTGAGATTTTTTATCATAAGATACAGCTATGGTAGTAGCCTGTCTTTTACGCCGCTGATATACATTAGCAAATTCAAATGTTCTTATTTCAGGATAGAAGTAAACCAAAATACTCTTTCGTTAAGACCTGTCTCTATGCAAAGTTTCAAGTCGAAATTCGAACATCAGTTTTTCTGCTATCACAGCATTTATTGTAAAAGTTCAGTATCTACACAGCAAGGACACAAACTCTTTTCAGTCTACATAATGTATATAGTCTCGAATTAAAATTAATTATTGAAGGACTTTCTTCGTCAATCATAGCGGTTTCATACTATCACACAATAATATTAAACGAAAACTTTTCTCACAATGAATGACTCATTTCGTTGTTTAAATTTAGTAGTGTCATAAACGTTTGTTTTTTTTCTAAAAAACTTACTAATCAATTCCACTTGATGCTAAAATTGGATAATTAAGTGGATGAGGTTGTACACAATTAACAACATGTTCATCAGCTTGTATGACTCGTATAATATTTCCATTAAATTTATTCCAAATAAAAATATGTCTATCAGTAGAAAAAAAAAACATTCTTTGACAATAATCGTTAATTTTACAACAACAAAAAAAAAGATTTTACCCGCAATCAGAACCTGACATAACATAACTATCCGACCAAAAATTAGCTTCTTTTATCATAGTACGTGTATTACGATGACCATCATAAGAATTAATTAAACCTAAACTAGGAATATTTTTAAGAAGATTTTCTTCATGAGCACGTTCAATTTCACGACGTTTTCTCATACGATCCCATTTTGTAGTAACAAATCTACGATGTGTTGTATGTCCTGATAGATGAACACTGTCTGTTGTTGCTGATGATGTTCGAGAATCTTCCTAAATAATTCATAAAATTATCAACTGAAAATAAGAATAAAAAAAACTCACGTCATCATCATCATCATCATCACCATCCATACTTCTCTCATTATCATCGACATCATCATCATCATCATCATCATCTTCTGTATGAAGTCTTGGACTTCCACCAAATATAAGATCAAATATTCCAATACGCTAATAGTAAAAAAAAATAAATATAAACTAAATGAAATTTTTTCTATATAAAAACTAACGTTAGATTCATTATCATCATCGTCATCATTATTTGTTGTTGAATCCTGAATAGGTGTAGGTGATGGTGATGATTGTATCATACGACTATTTGTTGTTGAAGAAGATACAATATTATTATTATTATCATTCGTTTCATTTGTTTGTATATTATTTGTAGTTGTTTCTATTTCTTGATCTGTTTGGTCAGTTTCTGATGTAGTATGTGTTACTAATTGTGTTAAAATATCACTCATACGTCGCATAAAAAAATTTTGTAAATTTCGACCAGGTATTGTTGTTGTTGTTGTTGATGGTGATTGTTGTTCATTATTTGATGATTGTGATTGATCAATTGTTGGTTCTATTTGTTCTTCTTCATTGAATGGTCGAGAATCTGGACCTAAAAATGAAAAGATATATAAATAGAAAATTTTGTCATAGAAAATATACCAGTATCACTCCAATCACCACGAAGACGTAATCGTTTGATATGAGATGTTTTATTTTCATCATTTTGTATTATATTATTTAATGTTGATTTATTTTCATTTATATTTATTTTTGATCGTTTTTGATTTCGATGTTCAATAAGACGTTCTTTCATTTGTTCTTGTGTTATTAATTTTTTTGGATCAAGTAAATAAATTGATTCCGATGAATAAGATGCTAAAATTTCTGTACCATATTGATTAAATACAACAGATGTTATACGACATCGACGTTGTGCTTTTCTATCAGAAAGTATAAAATATGATACAAGACCATCTATTGATGATTCATATTGATTAGTTGATGATATTTGAGTAGAAAGTTTCCGATGATCATATATACGAATTGACTAAAATAAGAGATTAAGATTGAAAAATTAACGAATTCAAGTATAGTCGATTGAAAACCTCGCTTTTCGCCAAAAATTTGGCAAGGATCTTGCAAACTTTAATGAATTGCCGTAGGATAGTATGGATGTAGTATATATGTAAGAACTATAGCAAATATTATGAGAATTTATCGTCATCCTTGTACTCGTGAGAGACCGGACTTCCTGACCACGGAATTTCCGGTTCGGGTCGAAAGCCCTATTGGCGAACTGCTAGTAGCTCAGTAAGTTTCACTAGTTATTTTAAATAAGATTTATTTATTTTTATTGTAATTAATAGTCTTTCTAAAAACACGGATGCATTATCAATTTGGCTAGTTCTTAATGACTATTTTAGTATAGTGTGCCATAGTTGGTGGAATCTACCCTAGATTTATGAAATGCATCGAAATTCTTGTATAAAGATCAAAATTTTCCATAATCTTTCAAAGAAAATAGTAACGCTTTCGTTATGAAACAGACTTGAAAAGAATATTCTGGAGGAAACATTGACTTTTGTATGACACCACATTGCCAGTGACTTGAAGTAATACTCCTTTGTTACGGACAACTCGAGTTACAAATTGTCAAAAGTTTTCTTCGGCTTTAGTGACTAAGCTTATACGTTTAAGAAAAATTTTCAATAAAATAAGCAAACTCACAAAGTCATTCCTTTCTGTTTTTCAGTAAAGTAGATCAAAAACTTTTCTTATGAAAGTCGAAATTAAATTAACTACACCAGCTTTATAAACTACAAAAATATTAGTTGGAAACAAGAAGCACTAAGTGTCTTTCATCTGAATGGCATATATAAATTTGCGCTCCCTATTCTTAACTCCCCAGAGTCTATCCTCGATTCAAAATGTTCCATCGTCTATGTAGTACACTGCAATCAAGTTCACGTGAATAGTAATCATCAGTTCTTTCATTAAAAATTAAATGAATATAACCTATGATGCAAAAGTCTTAACACTAAATATTCGATCACTAAAAAGACAACTAATCAGAATTAGAATTTTTCGCTCCTTCTCAGATTTTGACTTTGAAGTAAAATTAAGCAACTATCAATAAATTTTATGAAACAGTCCAAAATTGCGTTTATGCAATGAACAATAGTGGTTTTGTCGCAGTTCTTAGTTTATGTGTTAGAACAGCTTCAACTCAACATTATTGTAGAACATTGAGTTCTGTATAAAATGAGATATTACAATAAGCGAAATCTCTTTCTACTAAAGAGTGAGTTTCTATGGAAATTGGCAATCGTTATTTCAAAACTTGTTTTTAAAAATACAAAAATGAGCCATTAAAAATAATTTTACATTTTGAATTTGTAAGGTTTCAATCAAAATACAAAATCAACAAAAGTAGTATTCTGTACAAGTACTATTTTGAACCTTTTGAAATACAAATTTTTGTATCAAGATTTCCACGTCATATATTATTTTACAATAAAAACTAATTTGAACTTTTGCATTTCTATTTTCTTATAAATCATGATCCATTTCTGCATCCCCTAGCAAATAAATGATTTAATATATCTTTCTGTTTTTTTAACTTACAGAATCAGCACAAGCACAAACAATTTCATTTGAATTCATTGGATTAATATCCATTGATGTAATACCCCAATTACTTTTTATCAGTATATCATCATTACAATGATCTTTTAAACAATTACTTTTTGTTCTTAAATCATATAATCGTACAGTACAATCATC